AGGGCCACCATAAATCAAGATAGCATACCCTACAGTATGTCACAGATGGAAAAAAAGATGTGTGGCCAAGCAACATCAGTTTCCTTGTGCAGCAGTGCTAAGATACTAGGATCAGCCTGCAGAAAGAGTGGCGCTGGAGCTGGCTGCAAACACAGGGATGGGCATGTGTTTACATACCCACCCACTGCCACACTACAGACCTACTACCACCATACAGCTCTTATCTCCCTCCACCATTGCCACTTGTGAGAAGACCCCCATTGCTACATCTGACATGGAAACGAGGTGCCTGGGTAAACCCACAGGGCCCTGTTTCATATCATATGTAATGCCAGGGAGGTTCTCACTAATGGTAATGGTGGAGGGAGGTAAGGGGTGCACAGGACTGCCTGGACTGACAGGATTTGCCACAGAATTCCCACAAAACTCTGTTGCAAACTGTTGGTCATTTTGACCCATGCTAAGGCCCCTTTGACCAGGGATTGGGCTGGATCCACCAGATCTACATCAGGTCCCCCAATCCCAGAGCAATCCTAGACCAGAGATAATGGCCTGTGTCATCCAAACAGGATGACATGAGGCCAGAGAAAACGTGGACCTTTTGGTCCATGTGGGCAGCCCCCCAATTTGCACTGCAGAATTAATGCCATTTGACATCCCTTTAAATACCATTGCTCAATGCTATAGAATTTTGGGGTTTGTAGTTTCATGAGCTATTTAGCCTTCTATGTCAGAGAGTTCTGGTGCCACAACAAACTATAATCCTGAGGATTCCATAGCAGTGAAAGGGGGCATTCACATTTATTTTATTTTTACCGGAATGATGCCAATTACCTCACTCACGCATTCTGGGTTTACTATTCACACCATGGAACCACATCTTTTGTAAACCACATCTCTCTGGGTTTGGTTGCTCACACTTGCCAGCACTCTTCCCTTTCCCCATACTAACTGGCACTCCTCAGCTTCCAAGGCAGAATTTGTAGTTTGCCAATGAATGCCAGGTACTGAAGGCCAGGTTTCAGAGGAAGGAACAGGGAAAACCTCTTGATATGTAGGAAGTTGCCAGAAGCCAGCAGGTGACTTGAAGGGCATGTGCTCTCACACACAACACACAGAAAGAGGCACAGACACATACGTGTGTGTTTGAGAGAGAGAGAGAGACTTCAAGTTGCCTACCAGCTTCTGGCAATCTCATACATTTCAAGAGGGTTCTCTTAGAAAAGGAAGACTCAGAAGTGGTTTTTCCAGTTCCTTCCTCCAAAACCTAACCTTCAGTTCTGTTTTTCCAGGATGTGTCCTCCATTTCAGCCTTATGTACAGGAGGAATTCCAAAATGCCCTCCATTTTGAACACCTCTAAGAAGCAGGAATGTATACACTTAGCAGAATGGTTTTAGCTTTTCTTTGGGCGTGTACTACATTTTTCTTGATTTTCTACATTTCACACAGCCTTGTCCTCCTTTGGGGTAAGGACATCTTGTCATCCTGAGTTAATTGTGCTTTGCCCCTGCATCTGCTGGCACCTCTCAGCCAGGCAGAGGAGCCTCCTCCTGCAACGCAAGAGGATTGGCATCAGCCCACCCACCTCTTAATCCCCATCTGCTCCAGGCTATTTAATTCTGGGAAGTGGAATTTGTTGCAGCACCAGAGCTTTCCCTCCCACTTTGCCTCTTTTTTCCCCTTGGTGGCTGTCCCTCCGTGAAAAGCGTGGTGCTTTTGTGACTCGACAATGTGAATGTGTTTAAAACGGTAGTCACACTGCCATCTGAATATATTCAAAATGTAGTATTCACACTGGCAATGATGTGAGACAGTGTGGATCTTTTGGGGAAACTCAGAAAAATTCTTGGGTTCCTTTGCACTTGGTTAAGTAGGATTTTTGGTAGCCCCCCCCCCCCACAAACGGCACCAAGTACATTTGGGACTAGTGTGAACACCAAGGAAATAATCCTGTTTCACACTGATTTCCATAGTGTGAATGCCCCCAAAGTCATATCAAACTGCATTAAAGCAAAGCAGCTTCATTTATATACCACTTCATACCACGCTATGGGATGTCTAAGCGGTTTACATCTGTGAGATGATTGCCCCCCAACAAGCTGGGTACTCATCTTAGCGACCTCAGAAGGATGCAGGCCTGAGTCGAGCCTCAGCCCTGGCTGGTATTGAACTTGCAACATTGTGGTTTATGAGTGAGTGGCTGCAGTACAGGCATTTAACCACAGTTGGGTCTAGGTGTGCTCCCAGATTATTCACCTGCTCTTTAAGGAGGAATTTAACCCTATCCAAACAGGGGGGGAACATCCTCTGTGGTGGTATTAAAAATCACTCATCCACATCACCCCCATCTTGTCAAAATCCACTTTTAATTTATTAGCAACTCTAAGTTTTTCAGATCAGCAGATTTAAGATATATTCCAGACTGTAATTACTAGCATTCCTTAGTTATTTGTTTATATTCCTGGATTTGTAACATAAGTTATTTTACCTTATTTATAAATTAACATATTACTGAATTTTATCCAATCTCTGCACCCTTAATGAAGGGGTATATTATGATTGCTGTTTCTGTTTCTGAAGGATTCAAACCATGAACTCTATGGAAAAAGTGGGTTGCCAATTAGAGTGGTCACACAAAAAAAGAACACTTTATGCATGGCAAGCTACACCTCCTGAAATTTCCTTTTCCTTTTCCATACTGCTGTCAAAGATATACAAAGAATATCATAACGTTTTAATTATCACCTTTAAAAAATTGATAGAAAGTTTGTTTTGATTTATAGTTGTTAACTTATCTTTATGTAGTCACCATTCAGATTTACACATTTTCCCCAGCATTTCTTGACCCTCTGAATACCGTTATTGTAGAAGTTTGCAGATTGCTCCTTAAATCACTCTTCCACTTCATGAATGACATCATCTGTGTTATCAAATTGGTGACTTCACAATGGATTTTTCATTGTTGGGAAAATAAAAGGTCACATGGTGATGATGGCACTGACA